CCGCCGACCTTGACTCGGTCGACGACCTTGACATCGGCGAGGGTCGGCGCCCTTGACACGCGTCGGCGTCAACGCGGTGCAGAGTGGCCGCAGCTGTGCGGTGAAGCTGAGTCGGCGGCGAATGGGGGGAGGGGCGACCGGCCAGCGCCGCTTCGGAAGAGGGCAGGACGGCGGCGGCGGCGGTGTTGTGACGGGCGATATTCGACCGGCGCGTCCTCGTCTCGTACCGTCGCCTCGCGGCCGCCGCGTGGCTTCCGCCAGCGCCCGCGCTCCGGGCCAGCGACCTCGGGTCGGGGCCGCCGGCAGCCGCGTGCGCCGACCGGCCGGCGCGTGACGTCACCGTGACCCGCTGACGTCATCGCCTCGCGGAACGGCGGCTCGCGGCGCGGACGGGCCGTTAGAGCTGCCGCGGCGTGCTCGCGCGACGGAAGCGCGCCGGCGCGTTTGGATGACGAGCCGCCGTACGGAGAAGGCCGGTCGGTTCGCCGGCCCGCCTGGCCGCGCCGGCAGGGACGCCGGCGCGGCGTGTTTACTTTGGTCCCCGGCGCTGCGCTCCCATTCTGGCCAAGGTCGCCGCGCGGGTTGCCGTGGGCGCCGAGGACCCGGCCCCTGGCACGAAGGCCCGGGAGGGCCTCTGACCCTGGGTGGCGCGTCTGCAGCCCGCGGTCGCGCTGTGCTCGGCTGGTGCACGACCGGCGGGCTGCCGCGCGCCGGTCAGAGGGCGCGCTGCAGGGACCGCCTCTGCGCGCGCGCGCGGGTCTGGCTCCTGGCCGCCTGAGGCTGGGGTGACGCTGCAGACGTCTGGGGGTTGTAGGGGGAGGGGATCGAGCTCGCAGCTCTTGCTGTATTCGCGGCATTCCGCCCCGTGATGCACACGTAAAGAGACTGGGGCTTGTTTCACACGGCGGGCTGTCAGGGGCGTGGATGATCAGGCGGAAGGCTGACGGAGACGGAGGGGGGGGGGGCATCGAACGACGAACGGCGGAAGATGCGGCTCCGGAGAGTGACCGTCGCGTCAAAAGTGCGGTCATGCATCATTCTGGTGATGACTGCGCCCCACAGGCCCGCCGACGCCGCTCTCGTGCTGGCCTGGGACACGGAAGGGGTGTCAGGAAGTGCGTAAACGGCCATTCGGTGAATCATAATCACTGCATCCCAGTAACCTCATTTCCAATAGTGCCGGCTTGCACAGGCCAGGATATCAGACTCGTCACTGGCGGTGCGCAGTTTGATTCACAACGCAATCAACTTTCACTGGACCCGATCTGGCTGTTGTGCCATCAGCGACACCCAGGGGCCGTGACCCCGGCCAGCGTACGCCACAGCACATCAGGCCGCGAGCGCGTGGAGGCCGCGCTGCGCCGCGCCGCCGCGACACGCCGACTGCCCCAGGCCACGCGCCGGTCGACATGGCGTCGGTCTGCAATCACCGTCGGTTGTCCGTGGCAGGCCGCACTGCCGCCGGCCGCCGGTGACACCAGCGTCACGCGGCGGCCGGCCGGCCGCCGCCCGCTCCGCCGGCCCTCCCGTTGACCGCTGACCTGTGACCTGTGACCCGGCGGCAGTGCGTGAGCCGACGCCCCCGGCCGGGGTGGACGGCACCGGCATGCTGCCGCCGCGGCCTCCATGCCGTATTGGGAACAAGGGCGGCGCAGAGAAAGTGCGGCGCGCGGCAGGGCAGGCGGCCGCCTGCACGCCTGCGCTTGAGCCACGCAGGCGCAGGCGCAGGAGGTCGCCTTGGCCGCTCAGCTGGCCGCCGGCGCCGCCTCGGTGGCCCCGGCCGGGTCCGAGGAGCGCGCCGGTTGGGGTCGCTCGGAGATGGATGGTGCGGCGTAGGGGACTAATGGCGGGGTAGGACGGCGGCTGCGGTGGGCCGCGGGGAGGGTGGCAGGAGGCTGTCAGAACGCGCGATGCGGCTGCTGTAACGCTCTGTCAGCACGCGCCCTAACGTCTCCGGGAACTGTTTGATGTCGGAGGCTCCGTAGGGTCCTCAGGCGACTGCAGTCCGTCTTCACGAGGGCCGCCATCCACTCTCAAAGAACTGCGACCGGCTCCCATCGCACTGCGTGTCGTCGCCAGAGAGAGCCCACTCCGTGCTCCGCTGCGTGTGATCCCCGCCGGGCGGCCTCAGCGCCCCCTCCCACGCCCCCCGGAGCGGCGTGTTCGGTCGATCAGTGTCCTCTCGCCGGGGCAGCCTTGGCCGCCGCCGCCGCCGCCGCCGCCGCTGCCGCTCCGTGCCGTGTCATTTCCGGCCGGCGACCGAGGTCGCTCGGACGGAGGACCCCCGAGCCGGCCGCGGCGGATCCGCGCGCGCCGCGGGCACCTGCGGCCGACCCTCAGCGGCGCCGACCGCCGCCGGCCCGGTGCGGGGTCGCCGAGACCGTGCGGCGACACTGCTGCAAAGAAGCGGCCCCATCGGCGCGGCGCGCGCTTGGGTAATAGCGGGTCAATGCTAACGGGAGTGGGGGGGGGGGGGGGGGGGTCACCGGAGCAGCCGGGGTCGGACGGCGGCGAGAGCGGGCCTTTCACGGGCCGCGGCACCGACCCCTGCCGGTAGAAAGCTGCGGGGAGAAGGGCGCGTGCCGTCGCCCGGTGGCGGGGTGCACCTCTCTCCGCCGCCCGTTGCAGAGCGGGCTTTCTCTCGGCGGCGCTGCCGGGCGGCCGGCGTCGCGAGCCAGGTTGCCCAACCGCGAGTGAGAGGCGACCGGCGTTGGCCGAGGACGGCGCGTGGCAGCGGCGGGTCGCGCCGCATCGATCGGCGCTAATCGCCGGCCGCGACAGGGACGCATCGGCACACCGTCGCGGTGCGGCGCGCCGCCCGGTGCCCGGCGGTGGAGCTGCGAGCCCTCCCGTCGTCGGGTCAGCTGAAAACGAGATAATCGGCGTGCCGGGGCGGCAGCGATGAACGTCTGCAGCGTGACGTGATGGACGGGACGTGTCCGCGCCAGGTGTTCGCGGCGGTGTGACTCCAGGCTCGACAAGCGTGCTTGGTTAAGCACGCGTCAGTATCGCGCCTTGCGGTGATCAGCTATGCCGGCGCGCCAGGCATCTCCATCGACTTCCCTCACGTCACGCGTGAGACTCGAACGTCGCTCGCCGCCGGCCTGAACGCGAGCATCGTTCCCCGCCGCGTCATCCAAACAACGCGCCGGCGCGCGGTTGGCCACTCGCCCACGCGGCCACGCCCGTCGGCAGCGGTGCCGGCCGGCCGGCTGTCCGGGTCGTGCGCTGTTGACCCCGCGCGCAGTCCGTCCGCTACGGGGTGACGCCGGAGCGACGCCGGAGCGGCGGCGGAGGCCGGGGCGCTGCCGGCCGGCCTATGTGTGCCGATAACGGCCGGTAACGGCGCGGCGCGGCGGTCCGGTTTGTCGGCGGTGCGCGCACGCCCGAGCCGGCCGCCAGTCGCCCTGGCCCATTTATACGCGGCGCCGACCATGCCGCCCAGCCGGCCCACATCGCCGCCCGACCGGCTGGCCTGACCCGACGCGGCCGACCCGGCCCGGCCGACCGACCGTTCTGGCCCATTTACACGCTGCGGTAGGCGCGCCTCCCGGCCGCGGCGGCGGCCGACTGACCTGACCTGACCTGACCCGACGTCACCTGGACTAGCGGGCTGAAAACGGCATGAGGTGGTTTTTAGGTAGGTGTGGTACGCAGTCCCCACCGCACGGCTCTACACCACCAACGCGGACGGCTTGCGCCACCACCCGACCCGAACACCCATGAGCGTGCCCAGAGCACGAGCCTTGATCTCGCGCAGCACCGCGTCCGTGGCGGCCGAGTCGGAGCGGGCTCCCAACGCTGGTGCTTAAGCACCGACGTCAGTCCTTCCACGCGGGCCGGCCTGCAGCGTGTCAGGTCGGCCTCAGGCTCAGGGTCGCGCGGAACGGGCCTGGCCGCCGCGGCCCGGGGTCGTTCAACCGGCGGCGTGATGTTTGTGAAGGCGCTCCCTCAGCTCGGCTGGCGTGCTGTGTCAAGCACCGCTCCGTGGGGCTGTCAGGGCCCGGTGCTGTGTCAGCCGCCGCTCCGTGGGGCTGTCAGGGCCCGGTGCTGTGTCAGTCGTCGCTCCATGGAGCTGTCAGGCTGTCAGGGCCCGGTGTTGTGTCAGACGGCGCTCCATGGAGCTGCCAGGGCCCGGTGCTGTGTCAGGCGCTGCTCCGTGGGGCTGTCAGGGCCCGGTGCTGCGTCAGCCGCCGCTCCTTGGGGCTGTCAGGGCCCGGTGCTGTGTCAGCCGCCGCTCCGTGGAGCTGTCAGGGCCCGGTGCTGGGGCAGGCGGTCTGGTGCCGCTCGTCAGGCCGCGGCGTACACACGGCGACCGCGCTCGCCGGGCGGCGAGCCAGACAAGGCAGCGCCGACCGTCTTTCCCGGCCGACCGATAATCTGTCTCGTAAATGTTTCACGTTCTAGAGATGACATCTGGGTGCGTGTTTGGAGGCCTGGGGCTGGGCCGGCTAGGCCTGACAGAGGGCGGAACGAGGAAAAGAACTGACAGTGATGTGGGAAGCAGTCGAAATACATGTGCGCCATTGACTGTCATGACAAACAAAAATATACGGGCTGAAATAGAAATGAATACGGCAGTGTGAAGTGTAGAAAGACAGGCAGAGATGCGCTATTATATCATCGATTCGGTCTGCTACTGGGTGTTTGCACCTGTTGACGGTCAGTGATGCGTGCAAACGTTAAATATAACTGCGAATGTATAGTGTTGTGAGTGCTTATGAGGTTATAATTTCGGTAATGCGGACAAGGCCGTGAGCGTCAGCTGAGAATTTCGGACGGACCCTATGAGCCATGACAGTATCAGCTGGGACGATCAGGCAGATCACCAGAGCTCACGGTCTGAACGCTGAACACGACGGCGCGCGCTGAGAACGTCAGCTGACAGGGAGTGCCCTGCGCCAGCCGCCCTGGCGGCCGTGCGCCGACCACGGCGCTGACCCTCTCGTGCACCGCGTCTGTCACATCGCCACGGGCTGACACGGCTGCCCCGTCCGCAGGTCAAGGTGGTCAAGTTCAGCTACATGTGGACCATCAACAACTTCAGCTTCTGCCGCGAGGAGATGGGCGAGGTGCTCAAATCGTCGACCTTCTCGGCCGGCGCCAACGACAAGCTCAAGTGGTGAGTGCATGGGACGGGCGGGGCAAGGCATTTTATCCGATGTCTTGCCGTAGGCGTCTCGAGGGAGTGTAGGACAAAATATATTTTGTTAAGCCTGGACTTCCGAAATCCGGTGAAAATAGGTGTTTGGTTAGTTTTTCAGTCTCAGCAAATCCCCCCCCCCCCCCCCACACGTACACATACACCCTCAAACGTTTGCCCCTCAGCCGAAAGGCCTAGGCGCCGCCACTGCCCTTGGCATTGTTCGCCGCCGCGCCGGTGAGACCGGCCGCCGGCGCTGGGGCGTCGCGCGCTGTCTCATGTCGCCTGTCGGCTGCGGCGTGTAGCGCGGCGCAGACCATAGCACCTCGATCGGCGTGAAAGCCGTCGTTGTTTGACAGGGGAAACTGGCAGTGTGGCGATGGCCGCCTCCCGCGCGGAGGCTAGCGGGGCACTCAGGCGGCCGCCGCGGTGAAATCTGAAGCGGTGGCGTGTTGGGCTTCCGCGCGACGGTTGGTGCCCCGTGTCGCTTCACGTCAGCGGGTCGACGGGATAGTCGGATGAAAGCGGGCGACAGCAGGCGGGTGTCGAACCGGTCTTTGTTCGTCCGCTTGCCCCTCGGTTCGCTCGCGCACCCACGCTTCGTCGCTGGTCCGCGCGCTCGACGCGACCGGCGCCCTGCCTGGCGCCGGCCTGCGTACCTCTCCACATCTGCGCCGTCGTGCCCAGCCGGCGCGCCCCTCGCCGCCCTGTACTCGGCTCGGCTCGGCTCGGCGCTGCGCCGCCTCTGTGCTGCGCTCGGCACCGCGCGTGCTCGAACCGACGGTGCGCCGCCGCTGCCCCCGGCTCCGGCGCCGGCTCCGGCTCCGGCTCCGGCTCCGGCTCCGGCCGTCTGGCTCGTGGTGGGAGCTGGGGTCGGCGGGGAGCCGGGGGCGCGGACCCGCTCCGACTAAGGTTGGCGTCCGGAGCCGGGGGAGACCACCTGCCGGCCAGGTGGGAGCGGGACGGCCGGCGGTGACGCCCCATCGCACGACTTCGGGCGGCGCGAACCCCGGCACCTTTGTCTGCCGGATGGGCTTGCGCGGGTGCTGCGCTCTTCGGCCCGCTGGTCTGTGCAAGGGTCTGGTGAAGACTGCAGTCCGAGGGTCTGTTTGGGACTTTGGCCCTGGGCTGTGGTCCGTCCGAACTGCGTGGAAGGCTCCGCATGGCCGACTCTCTGTCGCTGGCCGGAGCTGTTGTGGCATTCGAACACAGTGGTTACGTCTGACAAAACTCGGGACGTTTTCCAGTCCTGTTTCGGAATCGGTTGCCTAGAATTTGTGAATGGGAGGTCTGAACGCCGAACATCATCTCGTGGAGATTGGGCAATTTGTTCGATTTGTCGAAAAGATGAAACGTGGCGTATTGAATATCAAACGCACACCATTTGACGCCGTAGTGCGGAGCCTATTTTACGCCGTTATGCGGAACCATTGCGATTAACTGTATATTATTTGACGTCATATGCAGCCTGTCGGGCATATCTGCTCCAATGTGTGCAATGGGGTGTGCTTCATGGGGAATGCTGTACATGGGCTGTACGATATGGGCTCCATGTTATGGAACACTTCGCCATGGTGGCCTGGACTCCCCGGGATCGTCCCAAGCGCAGGAGGCCTCTCGAGGTCATCCCATGCTGTACCTTGTCACCCAGCTACCGTGGTCAGCTCCGTTCCCTCTCACCTATCTGCCGTGTTCGGCTCTGTTCCCTCTGACCCAGCTGCCGTGGTCAGCTCTGTACCCTCTCACCCAGCTACCGTGGTCAGCTCTGTTCCCTCTCACCTAGCTACCGTGGTCAGCTCTGTTCCCTCTCACCGAGCTACCGTGATCAGCTCTGTTCCCGCTCACCCAGCTTCCGTGGTCAGCTCTGTTCCCTCTCACCCAGTTGCCGTGGTCAGCTCTGTTCCCTCTCTCCCAGTTGCCGTGGTCGGCTCTGTTTCCCCAGCTACCGTGATCAGCTCTGTTCCCTCTGACCCAGCTTCCGTGATCAGCTCTGTTCCCTCTGACCCAGCTTCCGTGGTCAGCTCTGTTCCCTCTGACCCAGCTTCCGTGGTCAGCTCTGTTCCCTCTGACCCAGCTTCCGTGGTCAGCTCTGTTCCCTCTGACCCAGCTTCCGTGGTCAGCTCTGTTCCCTCTCACCCAGTTGCCGTGGTCAGCTCTGTTCCCTCTCTCCCAGTTGCCGTGGTCGGCTCTGTTTCCCCAGCTACCGTGATCAGCTCTGTTCCCTCTGACCCAGCTTCCGTGGTCAGCTCTGTTCCCTCTGACCCAGCTTCCGTGGTCAGCTCTGTTCCCTTTCACTCATCTACCGTGGTCAGTTCTGCTCCCTCTCACCCAGCTTCCGTGGTCAGCTCTGCTCCCTCTCACCCAGCTGCCGTGGTCAGCTCTGTTCCCTCTGACCCAGCTTCCGTGGTCAGCTCTGTTCCCTCTGACCCAGCTTCCGTGGTCAGCTCTGTTCCCTCTCACCCATCTACCGTGGTCAGTTCTGCTCCCTCTCACCCAGCTGCCGTGGTCAGCTCTGTTCCCTCTGACCCAGCTTCCGTGGTCAGCTCTGTTCCCTTTCACCCATCTACCGTGGTCAGTTCTGCTCCCTCTCACCCAGCTGCCGTGGTCAGCTCTGTTCCCTCTCACCCAGCTGCCATGGTTGATTAAATCCCGAAGATATCCTGCGCAGTCTGGGCGGTTTCCGCTTCCATCGGGTGGCGCTGTGGCCGCTCCGCACTATTTCCAGTATATTAGCCCGCGTCCCTCCCTCGGTTCTGTGTTTGCCCGCGGTGATCAGGCCCGGGTGCGCACCCTTATGCATCATTGGTCTGCCAACACCGCGGCCGGGCGGGTGGCGTCCGAGCCGAGCCGAGCCGAGCCGAGCCGAGCCGAGCCGAGCCGAGCCGAGCCGAGCCGAGCCGAGCCGTAGCCGATGCCGTGCCGTGCCGTGCCGTGCCGTGCCGTGCCGTGCCATGCCGTGCCGTGACGAGCCAAGCCGAGCCGGCCTGGCTTGACCTTAACTGGCCTGACCTGACCTGACCTGACCCGGCCCGACCCGATCGGGGCACGCAGCAGCGCCACCGACGGCAGGAGCTGGTCCGCTAGGGGGGGGGGGGGGGCGCCGCCCGGCCGTATCCGGTGCGCTGAAAACGCTGCCGGCACGGGAGGCCCGCCGTCGCCGGCCGCTGGGGCTACTGGGGACGACGGTCGGCCGGGGTGGCAGTCGTGGCTGCCAACGCTGCACTGCAGCAACGCAGCTGGAGGCCACCGGAACCGTGGGTGTGGGAACGAAGGGGCAGGAAGAGCACTGCCCTCCAACTTTTGTGGAAGTTTAACAACATCAACGTCGTGGCAATCCATGCAATGAGGTGACTTGAAAATGGGTTCTCTTCCATCCTACCCACACACGCCATTTGCTGCCGTTGGCACGCTGCCGACTGCATTCCCGCCATCTGAGAAGGTCGCTGCAAATGGTACCAGTACATCACTCGAATGTTTTGGAGACGGCCGCTGCAACTAAGAGCCTACTTAGCGGTCACTGCGATGCTGTCCTCAGAGAGTATCTCAGCCTGCGGCGAAACCTCGCTGGGGGTCACCGCAACCCGTCCCCACCCTCAAAGGTCATTGGCGATCAGATTAGTATGTCATTCAGCGTGCAGCCCATTCTCGTGGAAACGGTGCCTGCAACGCCGGCCCCTGAGGGGGGGGGGGGGGGCAGGTGACCTCGGTGACGGGGCTGTCGGCGCGACATCTCCGTCGTCGCTCCTCGCCTCACCGGATGGCAGCGACCCTCGACTGTGGGCGCCGCCGCTCCTGTCGGTGATCCTGCTCCTGTCGGCGCCCCGCTCCTGCCGGCGCCGCCGCTGCTGTCGGCGCCGCCGCTCCTGTCGGCGCCCCCGCTCTTGTCGGCGCCTCCGCTCCTGTCGGCGCCGCCGCTCCTGGCGGGGACCTTGCCCCGCCGTGGCGGCCCGGCCGCGATCCGCCGTCCGCCGGCGCCCAAGGATAACGTGCCGCGCGTCCAGGATCGGTGCGCTGGCTAAGGCTGCCCACCGGCCGGCGCACCCAGGCACGGCTGAAGCGGGCCGCGGCGGCCCACTATTGCCAGTCACACCCCCTTTGTGCGCGAGCGCACGCGCGGATGGGCACGCCGGTGGGCAGACGGCCGGTGAAGACTCACTGGGATGGTTCCGGTGCTGCCGCCGGTGCCCGCCTGTGAGCCCTGGCGGATGTGGTTGATTGATTCTCTGCGAGGCTCTGATGCTCTGGACCACGATGGATATGATAGCCGTGGATGACTCCCCGGAATAGGGCCTTGGGCTGAACACGGATTACACACCTGAGCTGGCCATATGTTGGGATTTTTTTTTTTGCAGCGGTGATGATTATATGTGCCAGCGCCGGCCGATATCTATATATCGCTCGCCTTCATCTGTGTGTGGCCGCGGTGCCGACGGCTTGTAAGTCATTTTGGTGTGTTCATAACGTTTCTCTTCGTTGCAGGTGTTTGCGGGTAAACCCGAAAGGGCTAGACGAAGAGAGCAAGGATTATCTATCTCTGTATCTTCTTTTAGTAGCATGCAATAAACAGGAAGTTAGAGCTAAGTTCAAGTTTTCAATACTGAACGCCAAAAGGGAAGAAACGAAAGCTATGGGTAAGTACCTTGTGAACACGGTCTGTGTTCTGTGGAATTATGCGACGTGCTGTTGGTTGCCGTCATGGCTTGCTTGTCAGAGCTCGGTTGCGAAAGATGCAGCGATCATGCTTAGTACGGAATAAGCTTGATCACCAAGAAAGTATTATGGTTGGAGCGGACTGAGATGTTGTGTCATGCCTTCACAAATCGCTATATCCACGACTGCCTTTGCCATTTACTGTGCAGGCCATCTCAAATTCAAATGGTCCGTAGTTCGCAGAGCGATGTGGCTGCCATTGTCTCCTCGATTATCTCGTCAGGCTGGCTATGGCCGTGCATAGGAGATTTCGCTTGGAGCGCGGGTTTATCAGATTTCGCCCGCCGCTGTGCCCGCGTTTGCATGCTCATCCTGTTTGCAGAGAGCCAAAGGGCGTACCGTTTCGTCCAAGGCAAGGACTGGGGCTTCAAGAAGTTCATTCGGCGAGACTTTCTGCTGGACGAAGCCAACGGTCTGCTCCCGGACGACAAGCTGACTCTCTTCTGCGAGGTAAGATTTCACCCGCCCCCTCCCCTCCCCCTGCCTCGCCCTGCCCGGCTATTGTTTGTTTCCATGAACCGGAAATCTATTAGTGGTTGATGTACATTGATCGACGTTAACAAAGGCTTCAGTGTTGTTTGAAGCCATTAGTATCACGACGACCACCTGAACAAGCAATTACAGAGACCTTGAGTTCAACACCATCAGGCCTGTCTTGACAGTCGCACCGCCACCTAGCGGTGCAAGCCATAACCCCAGCTTCGCTGGCCGTCCGCAGGTGAGCGTGGTGGCCGACAGCGTCAACATCTACGGCCAGTCGAACCAGGTGCAGTTCAAGGTGCCCGAGTGCCGACTCTCAGACGACATGGGCCAGCTGTTCGAGAGCCAGCGCTTCAGTGACGTCACGCTGTCGGTGGGGGGCCGCGAGTTCCAGGCGCACAAGGCGCTGCTGGCCGCCCGCTCGCCAGTGTTCGCCGCCATGTTCGAGCACGAGATGGAGGAGCGCAAACATAACCGGGTCGACATCACCGACGTGGACCACGAGGTACTGCGCGAGATGCTGCGCTTCATCTACACCGGCAAGACGAACAACCTGGAGAAGATGGCAGACGACCTGCTGGCGGCCGCGGACAAGGTGAGCACGGCAGTGACCTGGGACGGCTTCCGGTGACCTGTGACCCGCGGTTACCTGTGACCTGCGGTAGTCAGTGACCAGGGTAGACCGATTACGAGCTTCTCTCGCGGTGTGACAGTTGGTGGTGATCTGGGTGATGAAGACGGTAACGGACTCGGCTCCGTGCTTCCCGGCGTTGAGATCACCATTACACGTGCGGCCATCTGGGCCCGTCTTTCGCTGAGGCTCCCCTCGAGCTGCGTGTTCCGGACCTCCGCCCGTGTCGCGGTGTCGGCGCCGTCCCGTATGCCCGTCTCCGCGCCGCCCGTCGCCCGTGGCGGCCGTGGCGGCCGAGTGGTGATGACGCGTCCCGGCCGCAGTACGCGCTGGAGCGGCTGAAGGTGATGTGCGAGGAGGCGCTGTGCGCCAACCTCAGCACGGAGAACGCCTCCGACGTGCTGATCCTGGCCGACCTGCACTCGGCCGAGCAGCTGAAGGCGCAGGCCATCGACTTCATCAACATGTGAGTCTGGCGTGGCCTCGCCGCTCGCAGCGCCTCCCTGCGGCGGTTTGGGATAACTCGCCGCTCACAGCGCATCTGCGGCGGTTTGGGCTAGCTCGCCCCTTGGATGGCGTTTGTTTATGTTGGGGGCGGAGGGATTTTCAATAGTGATGCAATATCCGTCGCGTTGGTCGGTGTTCGCTCCGTACTTGGTATCGCGTGTGAGGCTGCTCCGCACGGTGGGCCACAATCCAACGGGATCGCGTTAGAAGCTTTCGCTGCCTCAGCTAGAGCCGGAGCATCCTGTTGGTGCGCCGTGCCAACCACGTGCTCGGCAGCCTCCTCCAGGGGCGCGTCAGGCCACCCGTGACCGTCCCGCCGTGATGGCGCCCATGACCGCCGCCCTGCCCGCAGACACGCCACGGATATCATGGAGACGCCGAGCTGGACGTCGATGATCACCTCCCACCCGCACCTGATCGCCGAGGCGTTCCGCGCGCTCGCCACGCAGCAAGTGCCGCCCATCAACACCACCCGCAAGCGGATGAAGCCGACGCTCTGACGGCCTCGTCGCCGCCGCCACCAGCGCACGTGTTCAAAGGCCGCCGCCGCCGCCGCCGCCGCTCTGTGATACCTGTTGATCGGGCGCGCGCTCCGTTGTTTTTGGCGCGCCGGCCCCGGCCCGTCGCGTGGGGGGCGCGACAGGAGCGGGCGGTCGGAGGAAGACGCTGGCGACCGGTGGGTAGGAGCGGGCCTGCCTCCATGTGTGTGTGTGTGTGTGTATGTCTGTGTGTGGGGTCTGTGTGGCCGTCACCGGTCGGCCTCAGTGTGTGCGCGTACCTCGACCGATGGGTGGGCGAGTGACGCCCGCCAAACCGATCTCAGCCGGTATCGGCGATTGTTGTTGATGTTGGGGGGAGTGTTTTGTGCGCCGTGTTCGCGGGCTCGCGTGTGCGCCACTGCTGGAAGCCCGATGCCCGTTGCGCGTGTCCGGTCGCGCTGTGTTCATTGCGGATCGCTTCCCGCGCGCCCCGTGGGAGAGATCAATCCTCGTTGGTCTGGTCAACACCGCTTTTTTGGAGAGGTTTTCCTCTCGTAATTTGCCAATGGTCGCTGCTGCTGCCTCAGTTCTTAGGTAGGAGCTCACTTTGTTAATCTGCTGCGCGTATGGTGTCGCCCATGTTCAAAAGCAATCATACACGATTTCACTGTGAGCACCCGAAATAAAGCTGAAACACGCTGTAACACACGGAGTAGTTTTATGCCGTCACATACGGCTTCGTCAGGTGATCGCGACACGCGAGTTCCGCTCGCTACGCCGGCAGGTATTCTGAAACAGTGGCACGATGCCCGGTCACCCAATGGGCAAACATCCAGGGTTCGCGGCGGGTCAGCGCCCACGCGAGCGCCATTGAAATCAGCAATCGGCGATGATGAAAAAGTCGCGAAAAATTGACGACAGTTAGCAATTTCGCATAAGGCATGCCACCCGGCGCTCACGCCAAACGCCCTCGCGCGGTCGTGACAAGGTCCCAAAAGCAGCTTTGCATAGCATTTCATAGAAGCAGTAGATGTGCTGGCACTTAGGCTGTTACTGGTAACATCCCTGGCGACTGCGCCTTGCCATTAGATGGCCTTGCAGTCGACAGCAAGCTGTCGCAGAGGGCGCCACCAGTCTACAGAAGCGGCTCCATGATGGGTTCAATGGCACCGTATTCTTCACCTCTGCGCGTGAACGGCGAGCGGGCGCCCCTGCCTCTGGAGCGCCACATCAGGACCGCTCCGGCGATGACGACCAGCGCACCCAGGGCTGACACGATCATGAACGTGCGCAGCGGTCCGTCGCCGGCGCCGCCTGAGGGCAGCGCACGGGGCGCCGGTCAGCGCCACTGCTCCGCTCGGGAGCGATGTCTGATACAAATGACGTCACTGTTCGCTTCTCCTCGTCAACATGTTGGTGAAGTGGTGCTAGGTATTCGGGACAGGAAATCAATACCTAGCAGCACTTTACCAACATGTTGACGAGGAGAAGCGAACAGAGACGTAATATGCACTGATGTCGGTCCCAATGGGCCTGGGTGTGGAAACCCAAACGGAAGTCAGCTGACGTGTGTACGGTTGATTGAAGTGAGCTCACGTGTGCCCCAGCCAAGTGCCGAACCGCGCTTACATGGTGTAATTGCTTCTTTGAAATGCGCAATTAGGTAAGACACTAAAGACATCTATACAATCTGGTTCATCATGCTGCTGATCACGAGCATGATGTTTATATATATATATATATATATATATATATATATATATATATATATATACGTATATATGTATATATCATCATTGGTGCTGATGACATGGGCTTGGGCTGCCCAATGTACGCAATATTTACTTACCTTGCGCAGGCGCTGCCAGACGTATTCCGCTGCTTTGCCAGCCGGCCCTGACAGTATGCCGAAGGGATTCTGGTAAGCTGGCACCGTCCTCTCCAACTTTCGGCTGCCTTAGCAATACATCCCGGAGGGCACCTCGGAGGGGCTCTTCCAAGGAGGCGTCCGCTTCTCTCGTGTTCGGTTGTATTAACGAGACACCCCTGAGAGTCCCACGGATAGGCTCTCGCAACGCGCCATCCTCTTCTGCCGGCCCCAATGCGGCTGGAAAACAGCGCCGTCTTTTCAGTGCTTCTGCGAATTTCCCGAAATCAGATACGAGTCTGCAGGTATTTTCACATGCGTGTATGCACGGGTGTGCGTGTGTGTATGCAGTATAATGCAAAGAAACGTTTGTCTGGGCTTGTCTGAGTTTCTTTGCATACATTTCTTAGTACCATGTCATTTTTGAAGGAGCGAAATGCATGTAACGTCCTGAACAAGTGACACAAGAGACACAAGTGACGCAAAACGTGATACGGACGCAAAAATACATGCACACGGGCATAAATAGTCTATTTATTATTGGACTGAGCTATCGGAAAGCTGATGCTCGAACACCCCAATTCGCCAGACGTACTAGCATGAAGCGGATGGTCGGACGTGTCTGCGGAACTTCCGGAGATGATAAACACATGCAGATTTGTTTGATGGTAAATTAACGATTAGCATGCTACATACAATACCGACCGGTGGGCTCGGGCGCAGGGGCGGCCAAATTAAATAGGCTCGGGTTCAATACGCGCAGAAAAGTGATGCAGAGAAAACTTGGCAATTCAAATAAAATTACTTGACACCCAAAACGTGTTCTGCGCAATACCGTCACAATTCAGTAGTCCCGTTTCGGCACGTGGTATGAATGACTGTTCCCCAGAGAGCAGGATGTGACAGTCTGGTTAGAAAAAAGGCATGGGCACAATCACAAATGTCACCTTACGTCCGCGAATCGTGACCATGTGATCTGTGACTGCACCAAGTCTTCGGTTGACGTGTTATGTGTGCTTGTAAGATTCGGTGTAGAAAATTCTCTTCCGTTTCCAAGTGTTCGTAACAGACCAAGACCTGGACATCGTTATGCTCAATTCATTTTGGTATTTACTTGCATACTGCTATTGGTGTCTTGTGAGATTAATCACCGTGACAATGGCTGAGGCCTCCCAATTCGTAACGGTTCTGTGAGGACTGATCTTCCCTGCCGACATGGATATTTTAAAGGGGTTGTTTCAAGTTTGTATGGGGTTTTGAACGGAACTAGTTATATTGAAGATTATGCAGTGCAGTTCATAGCCCTGCCGTTCTTAAAATTTAAACCCCTACAGTTTCTGAGCTACACGCCCGCGAAGATGAGCGGAATACTTCGGGAAGACTGTTTCAAAGTAACTCAGGCACCCATGACGCCAAAAAGGCATTCAAATCCTGCCACTACATTGACCATGCAGCGATTAAGGTCAATCAAAATGTAACTGTCGGTTCGTTCATATGCGGCGAGCATAGATTTCAGGTAAATCGGCAGACAGCTAGCTGTCAATCAATGTTGTGCAAGGTGCGCTGGCACAATCCAACAATGACGTATTGGGGAATATATTTACTAAATAGAGGAATTGTGTTGTCTAGAGCTGTACTTTCCACATAGGTGTGTACCAGTTATTATAAGTAAGCTTATTTCATCACAGTCAATGCTTTCTTCAGAATCGACAAATGTGGGACATTCTCTTTAACAGCTAAAAATGAAAAAATTGAAAGGGTAAAGTTGAACAAAAAATTATTGGCGGGGAGGAGGAATATGGCCAGATGCACTGGAACAAGCGCGGGTCAGCACGCAGCCTGTAACTGGCTCTCGCGCGCAAACTATGTCTCCTCCCGTTTGGGGCATTTTTACGGATTGGTGCGAAAGCCAGACAGTCATTGCAGGTCAAGATGTGAAACCAACCGCGCGGTGCACGCGGATACACTGTCTACAATTCACTGAGTGAGCCGACCTACCGGAGCGCGCCTACCGGCCCTGTCCGACCGGTAGGCGCGCCAGTCATTGGTCGGGAAACGGTAGCTCTCCAACTGCCGAGACTGCTGTTTGAATACCGCAAGCCGTGCAGCTTAAGCCACGGAAAACTGCGTTATGGCAACTGCATGAGCGTATAAGAAAGCTTATTGAGACAAATATTCATCCAGTGTATTGTACAAGCATTACAAATGTTGACTGAATTCATTGACTACAATTGCCATCCACGGTCAGATTCATATCCAGCCAGTCCAGCAGAGTGAGCTTATGGAATAAAAGCGTGAACGTTACAGCAGCAATCCTCTGTCTGTCAAACACTCTTGATAGGAGATCTCAATGCACCGGTCAGGCTCTTTATATGGGCTTCCAGAGGTGTTTGGTTCCATCGGATTATGCTTTGGCATAAGTTGCGAGGTGATGACTGATTCTCCCACGTCTGTGATGACCTCGCTCGTCCCGTGCGCGAGGAGTCTCACGGATATATGAGCAGGTGCATAAGCAAGAGCCCCACGTGCAAGCGCAAAGGTCACTTGGCAGTCACGTGACACGGGGTGCGGAGGTCATCGCTGGATATGGCGTATGTCTCGCCCGTGACATGTGCACGTAATGCGTATGTATGACAGACACCGACTTGCTGCAGTCCAACTCGGAGCGTTTCACCAGCATCACCAGCATCACCAGCTTCCGCCTGTGTCATGCCCCTTATACTGCTGCAAAGCTGGTGCTATGCCCAGAGTAGTTACGTTTTGCTGCTCAGCGCAAATCGGAGGCCATTTCGAAACGGGCCAGGGGCAAGGTTGGCCGCAATCATCAGCCTTTCTCACAAAGATTTGTTATAAAACGTTCGTGTTTGTAAGTTGTAGTGTGGAATTTACAACCTACAAGTCACAACTGTTTCATAATACCAGCGCATGTTCTAGAATTGTAGTTGTAAAACTCGGCACTGTGTGTTGTAATTGCGTTCGGCCAGTCAGCAGTGCTGTAATCGCTAGCTGCCGTCACCAGATGCCACGAGGGAAGGAGAATACCGACCCAGTGCTAAGCATGCTGCGGAGAAATACATGTTGCCACGATTTCTTAACGACACGTAAAGTACATGTACCGATAATATTTGAAGTACCGATAATCATCATGTGAAGCTAATGTGCGGGCCTTGTGACAGCTGTGCTTTCGTGTTTGGCATACCGTGGCTTTTGTGGCAGCCGCGGGGTTATTGCGACAAGCCTTGGGGGGGGGGGGGGGGGGGGGAGGGTTAAGGTCTCAGACAGAACAAATACGGTCACCAAGACAGTAATACATCACTCGTTTGTGCTATGTTTACTTTTTGTGTTTCTGTGTAAGGTTAAATTACTGACCAATGCAAATCACATAGTAAAATAGCATTACGCTCAAAGATTGTAAGCTCAAATTGACCAAGCGATGCCGGCTCGAGTCCTAATCAGTTCAAGCCACATATACGCAATTATCGCTCGGAGCGAAAGCGGCCGGTGGATTAGCAAATTAGCAGATATGTTAGCAAACTGGTGGATTAAAGTGATGACAGTTATTCTATTGTTGGAGGCTGCGATCTGAATACGATTTACATTTTTTGGCCAATTTGAAGTTGCAGCCGTTAAGTATGAAGTCGCGATATGTTGTGCGCATATTTTTTTTCTACATTGTAATTTCTTTGTTTTAAACAGGTGGCCGACAATCCGTTCTGTGATCACTTCGGCGAAGGAGACTAGTAAAACATGCCTCCATTCAGTGCGTGAAATTCACCCTTTTTGGAATTAATTGCATTTGTATTTGAAATCAGCTGACACTACATATACACACGTGGCTTTTATAGGTCATTAGTCTGAGAGATAAAACAGCACACCAAAAAACAACGGGAAGTGATAAGGGATATAAACACATGCACGCATAAACAGTATGAGACAACCCTATCGCACAAAAAAGGACCTGGCAACGCACTGAGAACTTGTTGGATCCAGTCGTCTGGCATCCAAAGGCAACTGATTAATGAGAGACGCCGTTCGTTATGCAAAGGACCGCTGTCCTGGAAAAAGTCTACGGCCTATCTTACTATCTTTCCAACATAACTGGAAGCTATTTTAACGTTTTAAAAAGTGAACGCATGACACAGGGTTGCCGTGGAACGTATTTTGATCCAAGTTATTTAAAATGTCTGGAATGGAAAGGTCAACTGCGCCTTGACTAAAAAATTTGAGCGATCGGGAGCAGATGGGAGTCGTGAATTGAAGAATTTTATGAACTTGAACGAAGCGACTGGTGAAATCGCTGACCGATATTGACTGTCTGTGTGCGGCTGCGGTTTATTGTTGTTGTAGGGTGATGTGTGGCGCTCTAGAGCCAGGAACACCCTCGTGTTTCTGCGTCACGGCGGTGGTTAGCTTCACCCTTGTGTGTGGTACTGCTCGGGATGACTGCTGGGATGTGTTTAGGTGTATGATAGACATATTGATAAATATTTGAGTGAAAAGGCAAACACGTAGCCGTATTTAATATCCTGTGTATATCTGCCCCTGTGTTATATCATAGTGCCTATCATCTTGAAACAAATAAATCCACTTATTATCTGTAAAAAGTATATTTTTATGCTTTACATATCTAGTATCTGTTGGATTATCACTGCATACCTTTGATTGGTAACAAATCACAACTGACCGTACGAGGGGCAGTCATGCACCATGCAACCTACGATCAATGGTCATAGTTCACAGGTTTAGAAACTAAGCTGCGTATCATTCTAAGTCACGTACGTTACGTATAGTTACGTAAGCAGATGCAACTCATGTTTTGAAGAAAAGTAAGCACAGTGACCACAATGTGACCATGCTTGGCTTGTCGAGTTTCCGCCAGGTTATGCCGCTTTTAAGCGGTAAAAACGGTGAAAAGCAGGCCCGTCACGTCAAGTATTCACCACCTCTCGAGAAATGCGACAAAACTGCTTAGAAGTTGTGGGCGGTAGCGCAGGACACCACAGTGGTAAGTAAGAAACATGCTCAGCCTGCATCAGTTTAGACCCATTATTAGTATAATGGCATCCCCTGACCGAAAACAACTAGAAAAAGCACATTTTCTTGATGTTCTGTGCACTCCATCACCACGGATTTGCAAGCATGAACTAGACGCGGGATTTTCACTAACATCGTCTTATTACACTCGACCGTAAGCTTGCACAAGATACCAAGCCGTGACGTAACTAAACAACCAGCCGGTCCAGTGGGCTCTCAGCATGCGCCGCTTCCCTCACCAGTATGTGCGGCGGAAGCCCCTCCGGCGGCCAGAGCCAGGAGCAGCAGCAGGACGCGCATCCCTCCCGCTGGACCGGCCACGGGCGCCTGCCGCAGCGCTGGACGCTGAGCAGTGAGCCCCGACCGAGCTCTGGTTGCTCGCCAGGCGTAAACAAAGTCCTCTCGTTTGACCGCCGCGCCGCACGGGGAGCTTCGGGGCTTCTGCACGTGATCTGCGCTGTACTGCCGACGGCGGATGTTTCTTTGTGTGGTGAGGTTTGGAGCAGGGTAGACATGTAGAGGAAATGTTTTCAAGTTTGAAGGTTATTATCGATCTTTTCCTGGTGGCAAACTCCGACCTTTTGAAGTGGGCAGAAACAGATGCGTGAATTCGATCGAAAAGTGAAGGTAAATGAGATCACTAATGTCCTTACGGCGCTAAGCACACTTTGGATAAACGCTGCAGTTGGCTTTCGCAATTTTTCATTAAGAACGAAAACTAGCAAAGTTGTGTTGAATTCGCGAGATAATGGCCTCATGTCTGCACATCTTTTTCGCTAGACAGTGTCGCAAGCTTTCATAGCATTTCTCGCGGAAGCGTTTCGAAAAATTGGTTTCTTAGAAATATTACAGAACTCATGCGCCGGATAAGCAATGCGAATCAATTGCGCTACTTGCATAGTGATAAGCAGGGGGTCCAATGAAATTTCTACCACAGAAGCGGCTGCTTCAAATCGCAGTTCTAAGCTGTTTAAAAGGATTTCGAGAAAACTGGCATCATTGAGCTAATCAGACGTGTCTCATGTAACAATAAGTTAAAAATACAAAAGGTAGTATACTCCCTTTAAAGTGGTGCCACACAATACTTTCTGGCAACACAGGATGAAGTAAATACAAAATGAGCTAGTTGATAGAAATACTTCGTCATTCAGACATATGCATAGATCCCACACTCGAACACCGGACCCGGTGATTCTTAATGCAGACTTAAAAATGATCTTTGACTTTGCGGACTGATGAAAGTTTAAAAATGTGCTAGATAACTTAGGTGTTGCAAATAAATGTAAAGGATATCGCAGATGCTCCACACAATTTAAAGTCTTGACATAGTTGTAACCATTTTCCAAAATATCCTCATCCAACCCAGCAAGGTACCCAATCCCTATGGGTGGTTATGGGTATACAAAACCCACACGGTCTTCTGGTTAACGCCATCAATAAGTTGGCACCGAGGGCCCAAACCGTCAAAACACCGCACCTCACGGCCGCGGTGTGTTAAGGGCCGCATCGACGGCCGGGTGTGGCCTGGCGGGACAAACAGTCTAAAACCACGACCAAGCATCACCAATTAGCAGTTTTCAAACACGGCTAGGGCCGCAAGCACAAATCGTCAGTTGCTTGTAGCGCCTACCTCCCGATCCACCCACCCGTGGTGGGGTGAGTTCGAGTCTCCCTAGACGCTGACCATTTGTACTTGACTGGAACGGCCTACCGCCGGGGGCAGCCGCCAAGCTAAAGGTCTCGTGACGTCAGAGAACAGGACGGGCCGTGTCGAGTATTCTGGCAAGTTAAACTTTCGCCGCAAAGTTATGCTGTTGACCAGGATATTCGTTATCAGATGGAGGGGGGTCAGGGCTTCACGTAAGCGCCACGTAAACGGTCACGGCTCCACGTAAGCGGTCATGCTGATTAGTATGGGCGTGGATCCTGTAAGTTCATTCGTTCAGAAGGGTGGGATGAATAAAAGAGGCGTTTTACCGACCAAGCGCTTCTGCAGACATGAAACCGGAAAGACGTGTGAGAAATCATAATTTTAAAAGAACCATTTTCTATTATCGCTTGCAAGTGGACGGAGGAACGAGCGCCAGAGAAAAGGAAGGAAACGCCTGAAACACCCAGCTTTCGTGTATTGGTCGACGACGACACAGCTTCATCAGCTGACTACGGTCTATGAGCTCAGCTGTCTACATCGGCAGGTACTCTGAAACAGTGACACAGACAGCCAGTGAGAGTCCGCCTGATCCCTGTGTACCGTCCTACCGCAGGTGCCGCACGCGGGGACACGTCAGTCTGTCACACTGAAGCCGAAGCTGACGCTTCATAGACAGAAAAGGAATGTGTAGGAGTGAAAGAAGGTAACACGTTCTTAGATAGCTGATAGGAGATCTTAAGGTTTGCCACGAAAAACACACAGACATGAAATCGCAACATAAGCATATTTTGTATGACATAGAACTAGCCGTTTAATACATTCGGGGTTAAACGTTTGATAACTGTTCGACGAGCAAAACAACAGCTAAATGCGCGCATTGTTAAACTTCCGGCCGCCATCCAAACCGACATCTCTTCGCCTACCCCGTTACGATTAGCTCCCGCAGATGACGCTGCATTCGATACACGACCGTCGCAGAGGACGTCACCTATTCGACCATGACCACGTCTTATTCGACCATGCCGTAAAAGTCGGTGGCCTCCGAGGCGTGCTCCAGAGTGCCGTAGTCTTCACCTCTGCGCATGAACGACGAGTATGCGTCACGCCTCCTGCGCCGCCACACCAGCACGGCCCCGGCGAGCACGGCCACGGCCGCCACCGTCATCACGATCAGGGCCGTCTGCAAGGAGCCGCTGGCCGCGCCGCCTGGAAAGCACGCGGTGGTTGACGAGACGGGCCTCCCGGAGTGAAACTGGTGACGGAAATCCGTGCCATTTGAGACGAGAATGGTCAGGTGTTATTATTTGATACAGGACTCAGTGAGCCTGGCGTGACCTCTAATTTCGGTGACGCTCGAGAACTTCATTTAACGGTCCCTGTGGGAGTTCTCGTACTGAAGGTCGCTGGTCTTCGCTGATCATTTATCTAGATGCTGATTTAATAAAGGTATAAAACATTCATTTCAGCAAGTGATGAAAAATAGGTTCTTCAGCCGGTAACCCAAAACATAGGCATAACCGTTCGCACTTTTTAAAGACTTCTCGTGCGCATTATTGCAGATAAAATGGCTTGCCAACATCGAATGCTGTAAAGAAGAGGGCATTACGCAACAATCCGAGTCTGTATCACATAAAGTCAGGTGAGCCTTATCAAATTATGATAAACAGCCGTTTTAAGCGGTCACGCCCCTTTAAAGCCAAACATCTCACCGTGGTCAGCCGCTGACGGTTGTGCCGCGCTCGCCAGCGCAGCTGTCCGAGAAGGTCCCCTGAAGTGGCTCGGCATGGTGACTCCATGCTCGCCCATCTGCTCAGCGATCTTGGAGACGATCACCGTCATGAAGTCGTCGCTAATGGAGACGTTCAGCTTGAACACTCCGGTGGAGTTGAACGTCACCACGCCCACCTCCACTCCGCTGAGTGCTGAGCCGTTGACGAAAATAGCGTCGAACTTGTCCTCATCTTGGTTCGTTTCCTGTCCGTCGTCCTCGTCTTTGCCAGTGGCTGACTTGTCCTTCTCGTCTCCTTTACCGGCCTCGTCTTCGTTTTCGTCTCCTACGTCGCTTCCATCACCCTCGTCTTCGGTTTTATCTCCCCCGTCCTTCTTTCCGTCCTTGTCGTCGGTCGTATTGTCATCCGCTTCTTCTGCGTCATCTGCTATCTCGTTACCTTCATCGCCAGCTTCGTCCTCACCGGCCGTGTTTCCCAGACCGGTCACCGACGGACCCCGCACCATCATCTGCATGCGTCTGCCGGAGCCAGCACCGTTCCCCAACGCCCCCTGAGTGACGTTCTGCAACCGCTTCACCATCACCACCTCTACCGAGTTGCGCGTTCGGTTGATAACGATCTGGTACACCCCACCGAATGCGAACACTTTGATGTTGTCGGCCAGCCGGCTTTTGTTGGCGAACACGGCGTCGAAGGTGGCCACGTCCGGAATGACGACTTGCCTGTCGGCGTCAGAGTCAGCATCGGCGTCAGCACCGGCTGGCTCCGCCGTCGGCACAACCTCCGGCTCGGCAGCAGCGGTTGTTACCGGCTCTTGGGCTGTCGTGGGTTCGGGTTCGGGCACCGTCGTGGGTTCGGGCTCTGCCGCAGTAGTTGTTTCGGGCTCCGGTGCCGCGGTGGGTTCAGTGACCGGCGCTGCCGTGGTGCCGTGTTTGGAGGCGCCTGGCCCTCCATGCCGGCGGTCGTTGCTGCTGTCGCGATCGGCTGGCAGTGGCAGATGGATCTTGATTATGTCTAGGTTGTGGAGGTACGGTACGTCGTCAAGATCGTCGTCTGGAAAGAGTGATGGCGTCGCGTTTAATATATGTTCAGGGGACTGGCAGGTTTACCAGCAAGCTTGCTTTTTTCATGGAAGCCCCAGTTATCGGAAAGTATACCCCACATCCTGCATTATATGATTATCAAGACAGTTCGTTAAACCAAACGTCCATTCAGCAACTTGTGTTACATAGAACAGATGCTTTTCAGCGTGTACTTGAGTGTACTTCTTATGTAAAACGCTTGCGATTTTATATCCATAGTGCCAACAATAAATGATCATGTAAGCGCCCTTTATGACTCACAGCACACCTCCGCCTGCTAGTCGTCAGAGACATGTGCAGCTTTCCTTACCGCGTGGCAAAGCGCAATTTACATGCATCAACTGTTCTGCAGCCGCACTCGACCTGGAGGCAACACTGTTTGAGCGCTGCTTTCTGTAGCCATCATTAGCCAAAGATAATGTATTGTAAACATCGGTCTTCCGGGGAGATACAAGCCGTCCCCGTTTACGAACTAGCAGAGAAGATTTCGTTGGACCGAACGCCACTGCAAGACGGCATGTGACGGCATGCAAGCAACTGCATGTGTTTTGTAATTAGAATGCGGCGTGCTCGGAGCGACATCGGGAACACTTCAAAAGCATGTCCCACATCATGCAATATGAGACGGTCAAGGCATCTCCAGACGAAGCGCATATATTTCGCAGCCAATGGGAATGCGAAATATTTGCGCTTCGGCCGGTCGGCAGCCTAATAACCTAGTATCTTATCGCAACGAGGCCACGATAAGATACTGCAGATATTGGGAAAAGACGGTGACTCCGTCTGGTGGACTTTCGGTGATGACCTGCTGCGCTGATTTATCAATGCAGCTTTGATAGGGCGGGCTTGAAATCTTGTTGATTATTCCATGCACACATGCATCAAAAGGGAACGGCCGCTGGAAGTGAACAGCCTTGCACGGAAATGTGTACTTGCCGTCAGCATCGATGACCGCAGGCAGTTCAGTTGTTGTCCTGGGCCTGGATGTGGTGGTGGTGGTTGTTGATGTTGAAGTGCTCGTACTTGTTGATGAATGATGTTTGTGCTTCTTCTTGGACAGATGGGCTGAAACAGGGGAAGCTTCTATGCTGTCATTGTTCGCTACATGGGTCGCTACATACGGGATGGGTGCGGGCGCATGCTGTATACCTGCAGCTACACCATGCACGTCTCGCTACATGTGAGGTGTCATGGCCACTAGTTTATTGAAAAGCTTATCAAGCACAATAACTCCCCGCAAAAGAGACCGGACCACCATTGTTTGCAATAGGTAAATTAAAATGAAATGTGTTAACTTTGACTGCCTGGATATCGATTATTAGGCCCACTCCAGGCTCCGAGGCTTACTGACGGTTTTGGGAAGACTTATTGTAAATAAGCATACCACTTTTTCAGATTTCATTGTAGTCCAGAGTGATTCATTTGAGTATAGGATCGCTTGGCAGCATCCCTTGAGCGCATGCATGGCTGGATGAATTAATTACCACTGACAGCCATGATCAGTTAAACGACGCAACATACCTTTATACATTCGTGCTTCAATTAATCAAAAGATAGTGAATAACAGCCGTCGCGTTGTGATTCGGCGCGAAACGAAATTTGAAATGGTGATATAACTTCCAGCGGCCACAAATCCTAACTATCTTGCTACGTCGTCACATTTGGGGGATGATCGTTTACTTTTGGTTCAATCGCGTCAGATTTTTTTAAAAATTGAGCGGTTCATACCGGTCCTGCGTGGGGCGGGGGGGGGAGGCCACGGGGTTTGCACCCGACCCAGGGATAGCCCCCACCCGGGAGTGTTTGCATCGCTCTTGAAGGGAAACCAAGCCTAGGAAGAAATCAGCAGATGTTTCAGGAAGACTGCGCACCGCCTCTCACCGCTACCGCCACTGATAAGGGGCTTAAAACACACTGCGACGAAAAGGCTTTGGGAACATAAGGTAGTACATATACATGACACACACGAGGTGTCCGAATGTGGCTAGCCGATCCCTTTACACGGAGCGGACACGGGGTTCGCACTGGTGAACATAGCCTGGTGGGAAGGTGTTTGACAGGTTGAGAACCCTAGAAGAAGATGGCCTTGGGGTTTGAAACAAGTGTTGCCTAGCATATTTTGAGACGGAAAGGTCGGGTCGAACCTAGTGGATGTGTTCAGATAGGATGCGTCATTCCCTTGTGGGCTCAGTAATGAAAGACGTCTGCAAACGAGGCCATTTTGGTAAGTGAAAGGGTCATGAGTCAGGAAGGTCACGTTGGATAAACTGCTGTTACATTCTAGTTGAGAGATTTGTTACATAGGTTGGCACAGCTGGTGATGGACAATAAAGTCGGTGGAAGAATTTCCATCTGTGGGTTTAGTCTGCGGTTTCTAGTGCTTCCCCAATCCTCGTGAAATGTGCCAGTTGAGGATGGTTACAGGACGTTAGTCACAAGTCTTGTCGTTTTGCTCTGCATTTCATTTAGTCGCGTAGTGTCTGAGGTAGTCAGGCGTCCATCGTGTTCTAGGTCACAGAAAGCCTGACAACAGTCGGGTGTGAATCACAGTGGGTTCATGAAACACTGAAAGGAATTCACGGCGGCAAAGAGCAGACCCGGTGTTCGATTTCCTTTCATCAAAACTGCTAGTTGACATGTTCAAGGAATAGTAAGTCAGCTGGGACTGTCAGAGCTAATGTGAGTGCGGTGTGAGATGACTGAGTGCAAGAGGTGTGGGTGAGAACGTCACACCTGGATATGAGTGCTGTCATGTGACCGGGATTCAATCACATCCAATTGTTAGGGGAATAGTTTGTGTGTCATGCCCTGGTGCGAGCGTCCGTTGCTGTGCTTGTTTTTACAGAGTTGAATAAACCGGACGGAACGAAAGTGTTGACCCTTTGGGGGGGGGGGGGGGGCGTCACAGAGACCAGTGGTGCTCATGCGGGTGCTGGGGGTAAGAGGAATAAAGCGAGGAGTAATCAGCAACGAACATTATTTTGTTTTGGGATACATGGGACAAATCGTCGAGACAATGAAGCAAAAGGAGGGGACCAAATACCGGCCCTGACAGCAGTCAACCTAGTCTCAGGATGAGTCATCTTCTCTACCTTTGCTGTTTGGTTAGTCGGGGATGGTTTGATTAATACCAAAAATAAAAAATAAATATCCCGCAGCGCACGATATTCCGCAGTCGTCCAAAAGACCAGTGACAAATCCTGTGAAAATACTTCGAAAGGTCAAGGCAGACAGCAGTAGAATATGTATCGTTAAGTGCTAAGCCAGTTTGTGCGATAGATAGGCTCAGTGAAGCTCAGTACCGTGGTCCTGACGATATTCGCTTGGTTTGACAGCTAAGAACCTTGTGATCGGCAAGACGGTCATATAGTTGTTTAAAAACCTACTTTTCAAGAGTTTTTGAAGCCCAAGGCACTCGGTGCGTGGGATGATGCCTTGCGACGGTCTGAGGCGGACGCTTTTTAATGTAGTTAAAGCGTCTGCCTTCTGCCGGCGAGTAGAAAAAAGCCGAAAAGCCGACTTGGCCAAAAGTTAGTTCATAACCAGCTCAGTCGAGATGAAACATTTGGTAGGGATCTCTAATGTTCAGGTTTCCTCATGTCCAAGAGAGTTCAAAATCCTGAGAATTAAGCGCTGATAGCTGGTGTGCTCAATGTCAGTGATGCCAGATTGGTTGGGAGGGATGTCTGCAATGATATGATCCAATGAATTTTGTGAG